TTGTCCTTTTTTTAAACTATCAAATATCACTGATTAATCTTTTTCATATTGATATATCATTTTTCTTAAGTTTTTTTTTCAAAAGATTTCCAATTGATATAAAAGAAAGCGATTAAGAAACAAGTCTTTCGTATAGTCAAATTTATTCGTGATGTTTTTAAATAGAAATGATATGACAAGATACTTTTAATATAATTATTACATAAAAGGCAGTATGCGAATAGTCTTCAATATCATTATTGTAAATAGGTTAAAATATGCAAAAGAAAAAGAAAATTTTATTCTAATAGATAAAAGTTTAATGAATGTTTTCAAGAAAATTTTAATTGTCTGATAGTTTTACTTGTAAATCAATCCTATAGCTTGTCTTTTTTCTTTCATAAATACAATAATATCACTGATTTTGTATTATATTTTCGTCTGTTTGCACTCGAAAAAGAAAATAAAAGACAATTATTGGAAAGAAATTATGATAACATACAATAAAATCATATTGGTATCAATTGAAAATTATCTAATAGGTTATTAATTTTACTCTATGCTTCTGAAATGTGTTTTATTATAACAGTTTTGCAAATCTCAAATAATTATAATTAATTTAGGAAAAATGAAAAAATATCAATGAAAACTATTCCAAATAAAATTTCTAATTGCATTAATTCAAATTTAAATTAGATTTTTTAACCTAAAAAAAATATTCCAATCTCAACTAGATTCCCAACTCGCCTGCCACATATGCAATATATCAATTGCAATCATTAAAAATAATCGTATAAATTAGGGCGGATCAGAATAGACACCAACTATCATTTATTTTTAATGTTGATTTAACAATATCTTATCAGTTGCATTAAATTTGAAAAGAAGAAGCGATAAAAGTCATAAGCAGTCGTAATAAGTTATGCAGAAACTTTAATTCTCATAGTTGCTCTTTTAATTATATTGAAGCTCATTTTTGTCAAAGAAACAGACACACAGTAAGTACATTTGAGATCCTACTACAAGAGACCATAAAACTTTATCTTTCATGGAGTAGCATGGTAAAATCCAAAGAACTGGTGAGAAAAATACTAACGAATCCAAAACATGAATTACTAAACAGAACAGCTAATTCTTAATTCTTCAAGAACAAACTTTTTCTTCACAGACAATTAGTTGTGAAATCACTCTTTTTATTGCTAAAGCTCAGCAGCACTGCATAAAAATCGCATGATAAGGAAAGATTTGTTTCGTTTATTAAATATTACAAACTTCAGATTCTACTCAAGTATCTTTGAATTCAATATGTTCTGATTGCAATCATTCTAATTGATCTCACCATTCACTGTTATATAAATCACAGGTCTACACTCACTAGTTATACCACTTCGATAGAACTCATGCTATTTCGTTTAGTTGTATAAGGAATATTGACTGTAAATTTAAAAAAAAAGAAAATTGAAAGTGATAAAATTTTATTAAAAGTAACAAAATTCTCAGATTTGATTTTTTCACTCCCATTGAAGTATCCCTAAATTGAAATAGCAGGATTTTTGCTCCAGTTTCAAAATAGAATATTCTCAACGACTTTGAATGGTAATAATGTGAAACCATTTCATCGCGCTTCGTTATTGTACATTTTCTACTTTTTAGGTTGCCTTTTTATCATTCTTTCTCTGTTCTGTCTGTGTAGATTCAGATAATAAATCATTCTTCTAACTCACTATCATTCTCATTCTCATTTTTTTCTATCATTTATTATTCAATCTGCTTACTGCCTTCTTTTTTTCATCTGAGCTTATTTCGTATATTTTATTCTATCTTTTACCATCGTGTGGTTTGAAAATACTCATTCTGCTAACCATAAATTTTGAGAAAATGGCCACCATTCTTCATTTTCGTTACTATTGTTAATGTTATGAAATTATTATCATCATTTCGGTAATTTGCCATACTTTTATTTTCGTTTACATATGCGTTTCTTTTGTTTTATCAAAAGTCAGTTGAATTGATAGGCAAGCGAGTAATACATTTTCATGATTGTTTATAAGATTTCTCACTCTCGTGACGAAGTATAAGAATATGTGATATTGCTTATTGAAATTAAAGTATAAGAATATAATAAACTCTATTAGCGTGTAAGTTTTATTGAATAGTATGACTATTTTGATAGACTGATTTAATGTCGAAAACAAACTTAAAAGATCAATTTCAACTTCTGCTATATAAAAACCTGTGTTGTACATAGTCAGAATTACTTGCTACTGACGTGATGAACAGTTTCACTAAAGCTTTTTTACTTTTTCTGGCTGTAAATTTATTTGAGAGAAAAATTACATCCTCTGACTTCACTACTAAGTGGTTCTAACAAAATTAAGACAGAACATAGATAGTGAAAAGTTAAAAAATGAAGTACGTGATAATCGTTCGTTTTTTATATAAACGTGATGATACAACTAAAACAAGAAATTATATCATATTTTATTTGAAAGAAACGCCATCACAAATCCTCAGACCCATGAATAACTATTTACAGAATTGAGATACAGATTAACCAGAGAGTAGTTATGTTATATGATCATTGATTAATTGTTTGAGCATTATGTAAATATATATTAGTGATGTTTTAGATCCATACGAATCAGTAAAAGAAAAAAAAATATTCAAAAGATAAGCAGAGTATGAAGCTGTACACGAGGGAGTCAAAAAATTTTCTTTTTAGAATAGATCTACATTTTGAATATTATAGTGTCTATTTTGATTGAATCATCTTATTAGCAAATTTTCGATATAGTATAACTGACAAACTACTATTTCAATCAAAAAGCAAGTAATCTTTTGTTTCAATTAAATACACTATCTTTTATGTCTTTGAAGACTTCGATTCTCGCTCTTGCTGCTCTGGTGCCATCAATTCAATCAGATTCTTTCTCGTAAGTATATTCGAGTCTGGTCTTTTGACTAGCAATACGATCGCATGCGTGCTGAATACGAGTCTATTCCTGTCGAATTATTTAGAACAGGAAAAGCTGAATTTATGTTATGATTTTTTTTTCACAATTTCATGTGAATATCTCGATGTGGCTCTATTTCTTGGTAAAAGAGAAATAATAAATGTATTTGTTTTACATCAATAGAAAATGAATTCGTGAATAAGAACAAAAGCAAGCTTAAATACGAATAGAATCAAGGGCGAGCAAATCTGCCAAAGAGGGTGTATAAAAGAAGAGACAAATCATAACGTCATTCTACAATGATGTAAATAAGAGACTGCTTGAAAAGAATGCATATGAAAGACAGACAAAAAATATTCAATGGCTAAAGAGATCATCTATATGTATTGTTATGACGTTGTGAGTGTGTGAATTTAATATAAAATAGTTACTTTCTCAACTGATAAATAGATAGAACAACATATGTTGCACCATTTTCACGGGGTTATATAATTTTTTTTAATGAAAATTCTTTGTATTTATGTTTTAGATACTTCCAACACGTACGATGATAAACATTGATGAGTTTGTGTGCAATGATTATCGTTGATATATTTATTGATGAGAGAAGACAAAAGATCTGAATAATTATGACTTAATATATTTCAAGAGACAACGGCGGCGGAACGATTTCAATCTAGGGGAGGCTCAAAATTTTTTTCAGAGGATGAGGATGATGAAAGGTGAAATTAAAAACAAAAAAAATCTGGTACTAATGGGTGGTCTGTTGATAATTCACTTATGATTCTACTTTTCTCAAAACTTGTAAAATAATGAAAAATATTACTGTAATATTTATTTTTCAGAAAATGATCAATAAGAACACAAAAAGCCTAAAACAAATTTCAGGAGAGTAGAGCAAACGAAAACAAGGATAAAAAACACTAAATACAACCAAAAAAACATTTTCTACTCTGATTGCTTGAAATAAATGTAGAGCAGATACTATTTAAGTCTAGTTCATCTAATCTTTCTTTATGAATATGAGGTATAATTACATGATTTAAATT